GATTGGGTTTTCTTTTTTATTTTTTTATTTTGTGCACTGCAAAAACGCTCTGGAAACGAGTAAAAATGTCTTAAAATTAGTGTATTTAGCATAATTCAAGCAAGTAAATAATACGATTTGCCAATGGAATGAGTATTTTTACTCTTAAAATAAGATAATTAGATAATATCCACTTGGAATAAGACAACGCAATTGTTTTTCTTTCTTATTTTAGATGTAAATCGCCTTATTCCATTGGCAAAGTGTATCACTTAACTGCTTAATTCAAGAAAGAAATGCTCTTTTTTAAAGAAAAATAAACTTAGATTTCAATTTTTTGCAGTGTGACCAATGATTTCCAGGCTGTTTGGGTCTAAATGGCATCAGAACTAAGTCAGCAGTAAGACATGAAGCCCAAAAATGAAATTAGCCATCAGTGCTAAGATAGAAGATAAGCACATTGACCAGTTTCTGGTGTTTTTATCAGTTACTGATAATCTAAAGCTGAAAGAAAGGCTTAGTTAGTGAGGAAAAAATCAATATCAGTTTTTACGACAAAGAACCGGGCGCCAGGTGCGATTGATCCTCACCTTCACAATCAGCTGGTTAAAAACAAAATGGTTCCAGGTCCAGAGCCATAGGTTCAGACTGGATGGCTCCAGTGGACGGTGTCACTTAGAGGGACCCGGGTGTTCCAGGGTGGGTACCTACCACCTGGGTTTAAGGTGGAATTGGTGATGGGTTCCATCACCTCATTAGTTCTCTCTCACTGTGAGTTCTGACAAAGCACCCAAACAGAAAACCAGTTCCTCCAGTCTGAACCAACGGTTTCCCAGGAACGGAATTTTCCTCCAGGCCACAGATGGCTCTAGATAACCGGATCTTTCCTAGGAACGAACCGGATGATGTCACCTTTCAGCGGAGTTTCCTTCCATCCATCCTGATGGTGCGAGCTTTGAGTGACTAGACGGACCGGGATGAGGCCGCTGGCCTCGCCTGCACCGCTGCGCCGCAGCCTGCAGGCTCACTTTGCCATAAGAGTTTCCACAGCCAGCATCGGTTGGCTCAAAAAGCACAAACAGCTTGAGACGAAGCTACCAAGAGCCCCGCGGGCAAAAAATACCATTTGTGTTTCATTTTGAACAGGAGCAAATATCGGTGCCTATAAGAAGCCAGTCGGTCCTTCCTGCCTGGCCGTCATCAACGCGAAGCATGAGTCTACTTTAAAAGGGGAAAAAAACAACTTTTTAGGTTTGGTTTTGTGGCCAAAGCATGTTTTAATTTCCCCGGGGGATTTTATTTTCACTTTAAGCCGATTGTAACTGTAAATACTGTTATTGTTGAATGTGAAATAGTGCCAAACATCTCAGATCATCTCAGAGAAAAAAAGGGGGCTTGTCTTAAATGTTAATATTAGCTTTGATGTTCTATGGCGTGTCAGGATTAAACAATCCAGGTCCAGGTGGAAACCTAGCCTGGACGTTCGGCCGACGTCGGACTTCACACATCCTGAAACTTTGGGAAGGAGAGAAATGTTTTTTAAAAAAAAGGTTTGAAATGTGACTGTATTCTGATCTAGATCCCGCGTTCCTGCAGCTGATGAGTCCTTAAAGGAAAAGTCTGCTCAGCAAAGATTAACCAATGGATCATTATTCAGACCTAAAACTAATACGTTCGCCGTGATTTAAGGAATTTAGCGTTAATCAATAAAAAAACAAT